AGTTGCCCAGGCGGGTCTTGAACCCGCGGGCTCAGGCAATCCACTCACCTCAGCCTCTCAGTGTGCTGGGATTACTCACCTCACCTCAGCCTCCCAAGGCTCCTTTATCAAATTTTAACATTCCACATGGTATCACATTTTTTTAAAGAATTGGAAAATATGGTTATAATTCCCTTTCTCTACTTCCCCACAGGTAGTTATTGCTATCATGAATTCAGTGTTTAGAGTTCCCATATATATTTTTACACTTTTATTATTGTATATATTGTATATTCATAAGCATTACATAATATTTTCTAGGTTTTAAATTTTATATAAGTATATACCCTTCTACATCCTGATTTTTAAATTCAACATTGTTTTTCCCCCAATACTTACCCCAGTTACAGAGTTATGCCAAGTTCTTTCATAATAACTACTATGTAGTATTTCATTATGTGAATATATAGTCTATTGACAGACTTTTAGTTGCTTCCAATTTTTTGCTGTTTTAGTGCTGTTGCCTAGGCTGAAGTGCAGTGGCCACTCCCGGCCACCGCAGCCTCGACCTGCTGGGCTCCAGCAATCCTTCCGCCTCAGCCTTCCGAGTAGATGGAACTACAGGTGCGCGCTACCACGCCTGGCTGATTTTTGATTTATTGTAGAGATGAGGTCTCGCCAAGTTGCGCAGGCTGGTCTCAAACCTGTGGGCTTAGGCAATCCTCTCCCCTCAATCTCCCAAAGTGCTGGGACTATAGGCGTGAGCACCGTACCTGGCCGTGTTATCGATTTTTAAGAGTTCATTATATATTTTGTATTCTAATCTGTTGTGGTTATTTGTGTTGCCAATATCTTCCCTGAGTCTTTGGCTTCTCTTTATGATGTCATGTGGTATATAATTAAATCAAGTAGGCCAGGCTTGGTGACTCAGCCTATAATCCCAGCACTTTGGGAGGCTGAAGTGAGTGGGTTGCCTGAGCCCACAGGTTCGAGACCAGCCTGGGCAACTTGGCGAGACCTCGTTTCTACAATAAATAAAAAAGGTTAAGCCGGGCTCGGTGGCTCAGCCTGTAATCCCGCACTTTGGGAGGCTGAGGTGAGTGG